ATCAACTTGGTTTCTTTGAATTAAGAATTGATAAATTGTTACAATAATAATAAGGTTCGGAACAAGTGAAGTTAAAAATGATTTATCTATGTTTTATATATAAAATGTGTTATCTATGTTTATGTAGTAAATTGAGGTATGTCTATAGTAATTGAGATTTGAAAATTAGGATAGAATGTATAAAAGTATATGTAGTTTTTTTTTTCTTTTTCACGTTGATCGCAAACAGTTGCTAGATTTTAGTTTCCAGATTGCTGATTGATTTGTAAATAATATCAACAACAATCTTACGACGGGGGTGTGATATCTGGCGACTGTTTGGCGATCAACAGAGCATGCTTGGCGCAGGTAGCTCTTCTTCGAGAAGGGTTAATGTATTTATTAGGAGTTGCATGTTAGCCTCGGAAGAGGAAGGTAGTAGATTGTACTATGCGGTAGGAGCGACGTACTGCTCTGAGTAACTATTATATTATGCTTTGAATTATATATTTAATAAATGTTTGTTTCGTCTTGCTAAATGGTGCCTTATTAAACCACGAAGTCATCACAGGAGTAGATTCTGTTTTTCAAAAAGTGCATGCGAAAGCAGAAACATAAATTTTTTTTTTTTTTTTAACTACTGCTTATAGGCCTTCTTTTGATTTGACGTTGGCTAACATTTGCATAATAGACTTTTGAAAAAAAAATTGACCTATGAGCAAATAACAAATTAATAAATTTAATTAAAAATATTATCTATGCCTGAATTTCACTCATGTAATACCATCCAAAAAATAAAATAGATCCGTAATTAGGATGCATTCTTATTAAACATAACTTAATTAACATAACAAGTTTGAGGATACACTATACTTTATGAAATTTATCAAATAGCATTAAATATTTTACACTTATGATAGTTCCGGCATATTTGAAAGAAGATAAGTGACATTTTATTTACGTTTTACTAATAGTTAGTTTCATGTTGATTTTTTTTATGTCTCATTACTTGCTCAATCTAGAGGTTTAGTAAATAGTAGGTAGATATTACGTCAAGAGTCATAGGTTAAAATAAGAAGTAAAATCATAATTAGAATGATTTATAACAAAAGCCTGGCTGTTGTCACCGCTGCTCCTTGCCTAGAGAGAGACCTGCTGATCAGAACAAAACTGAAAGGCCTGATGTGAGCCCGGTTGACAAGTTTTGAAAGTTAGTTGGACTCTGTCTGTTGGAGTTAGTGTCGTAGCTCCGTGTAGAAGCTTCCAAGGCTTGCAACCCAGTTAATATACTTTAAGGTTCCAATAAAGGCCACTAAAGCATCCAGAGGTGACACTTAAGTTGTTTTGTATTATTTTAGGTCTCATTAGATACGAAGAATTAGTTTTACATGAATTTTTACATTTTTGTGTTTTATCTTGTACCACGCTAAGGATTAATGAAAGGCAATAACTCACTTTAATATGCAGAGATAATTTTTAAGGGTAAGAGTTAATTATAAATAAATAAATTAGGTAGTTAGATAACCTTAGTCATTATGGGTTGTCTCAATCTCACTAGTTTCTGCGTGCTTTATCTCCTAAGTTGTCGACCTCTCCACAATGTACCTATGAAGGTTTACTTGATCTGGTAAGAGTTAAGTAGCCCCAAAACCCCCGACAACATGAAGCAAGTTATCGCTATGTCTCAAAGTAACTACAAAGTCAGACAAAGGTTTAAATACGCCTCTTTTATTTAAAAAGAACTTAAAGGCATGTTCTTATGCTAACCAAATCAATTGCAGTTTGTGGTGATATAATTAAACAAGAACAGTCAAATTCAAATAAAAAAAATGTGGACTAGTGGTGAAAGACTATACAATTTAATTTTAATTTAAGCTGGCTCAGTTACTCTATTGTCATAATAAATTCAAATGTCAGCAACAATAATGCAAAGACAAAAAGTTACAAATTATCAGAGCTGACAGGAACTAATGCAGCGAACAAGCGGAGATTAAAAACACATTCTGTCTTACACACCAAGTGTCAGTCTAAAAACCACCTCGGTCTAAAAACTGTCTAAGTGATTTGCTTTCTGGGGAGGAAATAGAAACGGGAAATTATAGTAAAGGCTGAAATTATAAACAACTGGGGTAATTTACATAATAATACCCATATATATATATTTGAAGAATAATTTTCTTTTTCTGTATGTATTTGGTTTCTTTCTTCAACACGCTTCCTTTTCATTTTAGAATTTTTGAATTTAATTAAAGATTTCTGTTATTCTAAAAAACTAAGAAATTACATATAAAAAGAATGTATAGAAAAAGCTGCTAATTTTATTTCTTGGGTAATATGAACAATCGGAAGAAATATGAAATATATATGGTAAGAGCCAGTTGCAGAGCTGGTGTGACAGAATTTTTAGAATTTATTGACACACTGAGCAACAAAACCTAGAAATGGCAAAACTTTAAAATTTAGAGCAGGCACTGGAAGCAGAATTTAGAAAGGCACTAGTCAGCAAAATTTAGAATTTACAGACATAAGTTTAATATTCCATGTGATTGCACCAGGTGGGAAAATGCCTGTCAGACCTGTATATGATGCATTAAGACATATTAGTTGAATCTTTTAAATTGCCAGTTTTCAATTTCTTTATTAATCAAAAAATTCCAGTCTATAATACCTGTCCATGTGATAAGATTAGAAGCATTTTTAATATTTTCCATGCTTGTGTCTAGTGAAAAGTATAAAATAAAGGGAAGATAAACATGTTAAGAAAAAGATTCTAGTATCAGAAATAAAACACTCAAATATTATGTTGCCATTGATCTTCCAGATGTTCTCCAAAAAGTAATAAATTCATTGCAAACTTTCTCTAAAATACATCCATTACGTGATAATGTCATAGACATTTTTCATTTTGTCACATTTTTCTAAATAGAATCTGCTGGAAACGTGGGTCTATAATCCTTGCCTTCAAATCCTTCTAAATTTTCAAAGTTGCATCCTTCAAGTTGCAATTTCTAATGTCCTGAAGGAAAATTACCCCTACCAACCAATTTTGTAACAGCAAACAGCCAGAAATATTTTTTTTTGGGGGGGGGGAAAAAAACGTAAAAAGTGTAAAATTAAATTTATAGAGAAGACTGATGCATATTCTGAGACAATTACATGAGAAAACTCTTATCACGAAAAAATTAAAAAAGAAGATATTTTTAATTAATATGTTATTTTTTAAATATAATTTCAATATATACCATTATTTTAATGAAATTTATCAATGTTACAATGTTTAAAAAAAATCGTCGAAAAATTTCCAGATCTTGGAATTAAAAATTTTCTATAGAAACTGATCTTAAAAATAGCCAAAATGTTAATAAGTCGCCAAATTTATAGCCTTTAAATAAAAGAAATCACATCCCCAAAAGCGGAAAGTTGTTTAAGAGCTCTTCATTAGAAAAAGTGAAATAATGTCAAAATACTTGTTTCACTTCTTGCTCAGAAACTTGACTATCCCACTATTTACATTAGAAATAGGAACAAATCATAATCCATTCAAATAACCATATTTATCAGTGAATCACCAAAAATATACCTCCAAATTGCTAATTCACACTCAAAATGGCAGTCATAAAATCAGACAGAAATTTCACATGATTAAAATTAAGGACCTTTTGCCAATTTTGGTCGAAATTAAGGACTTTTAAGGACCAAAAATAGATTCCAAAAAACTTAAGGACTTTTAAGGACTCTTACGGACCGTACGAACCTTGCTTACATTGACAAATAAGCAATACCAACATATTTTTACTGTAGTTGACATGTTCGCCAAATTTACCTGATTAAAACTCCATCCACACAGGAAGTTATAAGTTAAGGACCAACAAAGGTGTTTGGAGAGCCTTACAGAATATTTTCTAACAAGGTAATCCTTTTACATCAAAACAGCTTGAAACTTATTGCAATAAAGAAGGAACAGAATACATTAAGATCACCAACGAAACACCGAAAAGATATGAATTTATCGATCGAATGCATCGGTACAATTCTTACAAAGTATATGCCATTTGAACTGCTTGGTGGTATGAAAACAAAAAATAAAGAGGATTTTATGATCAATGTGACATTAAATGAAGATTATTAAAATCAACTAATAGTAGAACTTGATGCCATGAGAAATGCTGCTACAACACACAATTTGAAGTTTTATGAAGAAAATAAAAAGCAATTAAAAAAGAAGAGAAAGAAACCTAAACTTTACAAGATAAATAAATCACTTAGTTGCTATTCACAGAACCCAGTACGGGAAAGTTTTAAAAATGAGATTCAAATTTTATGGTCCTTACAAAGTCACAGCTGTGAAATAAATGATGGATACGAAGTTGAGAAAATGCTGTCAGATACCATGACAGGATCAATAAAATATCCACTGTGGCCAACTTCATGAAGCTATGGTGACATTTTACAAAATGCGAAAGAATCAGACACTTTTCCTTCGCATCTTTTTTGTGTTTTCCAGATTCACCACTGATGATAATGATGCCCTCACATCTCAGACAACCTTAACAGAGGACAGGCCTATAAAGGAAAGGCCAAGTTGTGGGAGTGGTAACACTGCATCTGTTTTCCGGCACTTGGTCTATGGCATCAAAACCTCCATGCAACTCAGGCAGGTGGCCATTATATTTCAAATTAAGAACGAAAAAGATGTCTTTTAGAGCTAATGAGTACCAGAATTACAGATATCCAATAATCAACTATACAGCAGGAGACTTCCAGACTTGATGGGAAGTGGATGGTCCCAAAGTTATTGATATTTCAGATGACTGTTATGTAGACAATGTGAACTGTTTCTTTAATTACTGAAATTAGCAATTTTTTAAGTGTATATATTTGCATTTGTTTTGTCCATTAAGAACATGTTAATTTATTATATCACTTATAAATAAATTGATCTTGCGTACACACATATTCCCTTAACTTTCTTAAAAGCATTTTGCTAGGCTGGTTAAAAACTACCGAAAGAAATCTTCAAATAATCTGTAGTTTCTTTATTGAAGCAAAAAATGTTCTTTTTACACCTTCTTAAAACAGTTTCCATTTCTTAAAAGAACTAAAAGTTTTATTTTACTTATTTATTTATTTTTATGTTGCTACCACACAATACTTATATTACATTTTTAAATTTTATCATAGAATTTTTTCAAGCACAAGTTGTGCTATCAAGCACAACATACAAAAAATTCCACAGTTGTCACACCATTTATGCAATAAGTAATGAGACGGCAACAAGCAACAAAAGATGTCTAACTATACAAACAGCAATATGAACTTTTTACACAGAATCAGGTTATCAGTCCCCTCAACTCAATGAATACAGTATGTGGCAGTTACATGTAAAGAGACAGAGACACATATATGAATATATTGACCACAAATAACTTGGCTGCAATATACTTGAAATAATGACTAAGACCACTGCTAAAGATGAAAAGAAAAAAAAAAAAAAAAAAATGTATTTGTCATCATCTCATCAAATGCAGAAGCAGTTTATTTTGTTAATGAAAAGAAGATTCAATATTTTGCAGAAATACTGTTCTTGTACAGAGCTAACTTACACTTTTCAAAAAGGCACACACAATATCCTGCATATTTTTTATGAATTATTCTCACAGCTAGCTCTAAGGGCTTCTTCAAACTGCAGATTTATTAGTTTTCTTTATTATGATGATCTCTGAAATTTATATAAAGAAATGACGATCATGCATAAAGAAGACCACATTGTTCTTAACAACTGAAAATGGAAACTAGTTAATTTATGTAATGTCAATATTTGAAATGAAATGTTCTTTGTATTTCCTTTATGCACAATGATGCAAGTGAGACATAATTAATGGCAACATGTATGGACAAAATGTTATCTTGAAACAGCAACACAAAATGTAAGATACTGGACATGACTTGCATAAACCTTTACAGTATACTATATATATGAAGTGGGAGAGGTAAATGCTTTTGATGAAAAACTAGCAGAGTCTATACAATGCAGAAAACATTTCCAACAAATTATGATGAGAATAAAATGCATTCATTGATGTTGATCATCTGCATTCAGTATATAGTGAATTTCACTTCTTTTAAGCATAGATGCTTCATGAATTTTTTCAATCTTCACCTCCACCTCTCCCCATTATAAAATGACATTCATAGGCTATTCCCATGTTAAATGGCTATCAAGGTTGTTCCTATCTCCCAGCACTTTGTCTGGGAAGGCCACCTAGTTAGCGACCAGCTGAAAAAGAAAATAAAAATCAGTACAAAGGAAACAAATACAAAATACAGAATTATTATACATTACCAAAAAAATAAAATGTGAGAAGAAAGAAAGGTAAAATACTTGTTATTTAAAATTAAGTTTAAAAAAAAATCTGCAATTTAGTTAATTTTAAAACCATTATAAACAATCAACCTGGCTGCTACTTTTAGTAAGATTATTTTTTTGTCATAAAGTGTCATCATTTTTTTAATTTCAGCAATAAAATTCTTTTAATAAATGCATCAACCTTGCTTCCTCATTAGAATGTACCTTTAGAGGATCTTCAGAATTAATATTTTTACCAGTTCTTTTAATTAATCCTTAAAAAACTTGGAACAATGTACCATACACATCATTCATCATTTAATTCTAACCTACCCAAGCATTAAACTCATTTTATTGAATTAATAAAGAGATCAATACATTAAATGAAGAAAGTGTGTATGAAGGTTACATGCTATGTTTTAATAAAGACATCAATATATACCACATCTGTTTATTATTTAAAACTTTATAAGCAAGAAATACATCATTGATTAAATTTGTTTTAGCGAAAGAAACACTTAAGAGTTCTGGAACATTCCACAGAAATAATTGTACGCAATGCTAATCTGGAGATATCTCACTATTCCGAACTCACACTGAACTAACAACTGAAAGCCCATGCTCTCTCTGGTCTTATATAGTTTTCACCTGGCTGACAAGATATTTTGGTCACTTTCTGCTTCTTGAATAGGGTTACAGTACATCAATTACAGTTATTCAATTACAATACCCATTACAGTTATACCGGGATCAGACCAAAATGTCGCCAAGTTTGGAAGTTTTTTCACAATTAGCTGTTAAAGCAGCTTCATGACATCTCGCCATATCAGCAACATAGTCATTTACTCGATGTAAAATACACTTACACCTGTATTCTTACTTTTCTGGAATAGCATTGTGTCTCTAGAATTTTAAGGTTACATTATACAAAAAAATGCAAAAATTTCACATATAAATGCACTAAAATCATCTGTCTATGTACAAAATTCATAACATTATTTAAATTTATCAGAGCTTCCTCAACACTTTAAAGAATGATAATTACTTGTCTTTAACGAAAAAGAAATACCTGTCAAAATTCAAATTCTTTGTCATATTTCAACATTTCATTGCAAATGATTTCTGTTTAATAGTCTTATTTATTACTCCTCATTGTTTTTTAAGTTAATTTTACTACAGATGATTAAACTGCACATCCATAGTACCATATTTAGTCAAACATAAGACCCCCTATTTTTTCTATATCTTTGTCCTAAATTTTGGTAGTGTCTAACAATTAGAATTCTTACTAATCAAAATCTGATTGTTATATTATCTAATTATTAGATATTAAAATAAATGAAATTTCAAAATGAGAGGAAGGCGTTTAATTATTATTGTATCTAAAATAATTATACTGTTTAAATACTACATAAACCACACAGATATTATAACACACATAAACTGCATAAATGCTGCTAATTATAATAAATAGGCATGTCTAGATTAGCAATTTCATTATAAACCTGGATCACTGATACTGATAACTGTTAGATCTGAAAACAAATATGTAACTCTTACAGATACAATCAGAAAATATTTATCTGTCTTCAACTCTTCCTTCCAATCATGCTCAAATGAGCTAAACAAGGAGAAACAGCAGGATTAGTTACCATATTTCAGATGGGTTCACGAATGCACACTTAGCTAAAACCACTTCTTGATTACAATGTTTAGTTTGGGATGAAAATCATCAGATCTGCTGCTAAGATCTGACATAAAATTTCTAAGCTGAATCCTTTTCTTTATCTAATTTTTCACTGAATCCTTTTCTTTATCTAATTTTTCACTGAATCCTTATCTTTAAAAGATCAAAGTTTTCCCAGCATCACCGGAATTAAAAGTAAGTAAGAAAGACTAGGCAGAACAACATGTGATCCAAATTAGTCTATTGGCTCATATCCAAGTTACACATGGAAAAAACTACAAAAACGACCATTCGGCTGGAAATGAACTTAAATTGAACTACCAGTGTTCAGCGACTTTACTGCTCAGCCACTGGTGGGCCCTTCTCTCTTTGAAGCATAAGAGATTTCTTTTTCTACCAGCATTCTCCACAGAGATCACATCTTCTACAGTCTCAAATCCAAATTTTGCCAATCGATTGGGTTTATTAGTGAATGTTAATTTACATCAATAATACTTGCACAAAAGTACATAAATGTTGAATTATTTTTTACATTCTTCATGAAATGCTTTTGGAAAATGGTAGAAAGCACAAAGAGATGTCGTTTTAGCAAAATTTACATAATGGGACAAAATGATTTTGCACTTTAATTAAAAGCTTTTCAGCTACTTTTGCATAAAATTTTATACCAGAAAAGGGCCAGCAATTCTAACCCTGATCACACACAAGTTACCTGTCACAAGAAGAGCTCTGGCCTCTATAGTATGTTATATCACACGCTACTGTATTTCTGTCATACTTCTGATTTGCTTAGAGCTGTGGAAAATGTTACATTACTCTTTTAAGAAAGATGCATTTTACTTTCTCCTTAATGTAAAAGAAGGACCACAAAATACTGTATGACCAAAGGGTTAGTAGTGGCAGTGTGAAAAGTTATGAATGAAACAAAATTTACATTCTGACAACTGGTTCAATGGATCATGGGTTCAAATGGGTAACATTTGTAACAGAGTTGTGATTTATTTACTTTTGCAAAATAAATTGTCAGTCAAGTGATATAAAACGTTTAAGTGAGAAGTACACATATTTACTATACAAATTCTTAAATTTTTCTTAATTAAAATTTTACAATAACTTTGCCATTTAAATAATATAGGACATTATTTATTAATATCTTTCATTAACATCACAGTTGAATATGTAACAAAATTGAAAATGAATTATACTCGTGGGGGAAAAAGTGCATGCATATGTGGGGAGAGAAGTATCATTATCAGCAAAAACAAAAAAGTACTACATTTCACACTTATAAATAAAGGAAACTGTCTGGTAATTATTAATTCAAAGTATACAGCAGTGAATTCCCAAAACAGATTTATCAAATGGGATAGCAAACCAAGTACCACATTCATGTATTTACACAAAAAATATAAAAGGCACTCTTTCAATGAAACCCTGAAGTATGGTAAGACTGTTGAGACTATGACTAATGCCATAAGCAATACACAAATAGCAAAAGCATTTTCGAATTGTGAAATAACAAAAAGAAGCAAGTCTGTACATTAATTCTTTTGAATCATTTACATGCTAGAAAATACAATTTCAAAACTTCTCACTCAAATTTAAGCAAGAATTCATAAAAATGCCTACAAGCATCAAGTATTTGACATTCCTTGCACTGATTTTTATTCCTTCAATGTACTAAAGTCTGTTTTTTAATTAAAAGTTAATAAGCTTTTATAATGGCAGAAAAGCAAATGCAGTAAACACCAGTTATTAAACATCTAAATTGATTCTCATACACTTGAATAAAAGTATCGAACTCAAAAGAATTGTAAGCAATTTTGAAAATCTTACCAGAGGTGGTAACCACTTGAGAGGTAGCAGCTGCAGCAGAAGCAGCTGCTTTTTGTTTTAGCATGGTCCAATCAAAAGTGTAATCATATTGATGATTAAGAGTTCGAAACAAGATCCTGAACAGTTGTCGAAGGTACATGTAGTCGGGTCCTTCTTCAAAGCGGAGGCCTCGACAATAATTGAGGTACATTGCGAATTCTGCAGGAAAGCCCTGAGATGGAAATATATTAATATACATTATTCTAGCATATTTTAAAATTTGGTAACTTTACAAACACTTTAAAATTTGAACACTGCAGATCACATTTTTCACTACCATTTAAAACAAAACCTTCTTTACTAGGATGTGAATTTGACAAATATATCCTATTAGAAACATTATACTTGAATACTTTTCTTAAAAAACACAACACTTTGAGAAAATGATTAGAGAAAAATATTCAAAAGTAAGTAATTACATACTTTACATAAAACCTCAATGTTTGTTGACATTTTCTTTTCACTAATTTTCTCATACTTCTGCTTTTTGGTAGCAGCTTTCAGGCCTTGCCAAGGTAAGCTTCCCCGATTGAAATACATTAGAACATATCCCAATGATTCCATATCATCTCGTCGGCTATTAAAATACAATATGTTAGATATAATCTAAAGAAAATATTTTTTTCAAACATCAAAATGTGCACTTAGAAACTCTGCTAGTCAATGCAATTAACATGAATCACTGGAAAGCAAGACAAAAATAACAAAAAACTGGTTAATTTCAATATCATATGAGGTACACACACACAACAAGTAGCTTAATCCTTCTTAATTAGAGAAAACCCGTGTAATTATGATTAGCAACAAACATAAAAATAAATGTAGATTGCATAAGAAACACAATTCATTCCAAGTGAGCATCTGTTAAGCAGGAAGCTCTTTCCTACAGTTAATATGCGAATAAGTTTAATCTGCTCCCAAGCCTGTTTCAAATTACTGAAATGTTCTTAAAAACTTTCACAGAATATTACACACTAACATAAATGAAAATTCTAGAACTTGCTTATTAGCTATTAAAAATATCTGAATACATTATACAATCCCCCAGCTTTTAATATTAATCTGAATATTTCTAGTTTTTCCCTGGACACAGATGACTCTGCCTTTGATGCCTTTTGCATTTTGATTCATCTAGATTTCAAAAATTCTCTGAAACAGTTTACATCTTCCATTTCTTTAGAATGTTCCTAAAGTAGTACTCGGCATTCACCTGAAACCCTCTTCATTCCAGCTTGACTCAGATACAACTGCTTGGTTGTGATCTTATCTTTCAGAAGGTTCTTAATTATAAAGTAAGCATTATTCCTTTACCTTCTCCAGAAGAAATTGGGTAGTTTGACCATGGGTACCTGCATTGTTGGTTTTCCCCATGTTTAATTATGACTAAGAAATAGTTTTTTTTTTTTTTTTTGGAAAGTCCTCTGCTTAGGCACATACAATTCTTGTATGCTTTGCTATATTAAAAATAATCTAATCTAACTATCATATAAATGATTTCTTTTCAGAATTTGATTCCTGTCACATACATTTTCTATTCCAAATAACCCTTTTGAGCAACATCATTGCATGATCTACTGCCTACCAAATTTCTGCCAACTGGTGTTTGAGAATTAGTATTTCTTGTGTCTTATACTGAAATGTTTCCAAACAATTAAGGCACTATATCCTAAGAAAAAGAGTCAAGGCATAAGATGGCATTGTTATTCTATAACAATAATTAAGAAAAAACTTCTTCCTTATAACATCTACAAAAATTTTGCTATTCTGGGACCAAATTCTAGTCTGATTAAAATGTAAAAATATAATGAAAAATCTTTGAATTGATTGTGGTTACGTATGTAAGGTGAGAAATTTGAAACACTTCCTCAAGCACTGAATGTGGTGCCCCATTTTCTAAAGCTGTCTTCAGAAGGAATATGAAGTCTGAAAAAGATTTTAATTATTCTTTACTAGAAATCTTATTTCCCTTACACATACTTCAAGATGTGAGTAATTAAAAAAGCACACGCTAAATACAGTTAAGGTTAGTTTCATAAGATTTTTTAATCCCCCTAAAATAGCCAAATATATATATGTCATAATAAGAGCAAAGGAAAAGCCGGAGCAGTGTCGATGCGTGATTAGATCCGACTGAAGACGAATTTGGTTGCCAGTAGCTAGTAATGCGACTTGGTAACATCTAAAGAACTTGGCAGTCAAGGCAGTTTTATTCCATTTTTATTTCAATTGATTTTGTGGCCACAATCACTTGGCACTCTGTCGTGCCTTTCCACAGAAGATTTACATTTTGATATTGTTGAGGTAGAAAGCAGCCAGCAAATTACATCTACACAGTAGAGAGCAAAGCTGAAGTGCGTAGTTATGAAAGATGGAATCATGCGAAGAGAAAAGTCAGTTCAATTGGGTGATTGGTCGAGAGGGATCCATAATGGTGGTAGATCGCATGATTAATTTGAATGACGCCGTTTAGGCTTAAGCTGTTATCTTTTAAAAAAATCCACCAGTTATGTCTCAAAATTTTCAGATTTAGATACATAATTTATGTCAATTAAAAAATGGCTAGACAAAGAACACAAAATTTCAATTTGTTCTTAATACCATAATTATCCAAATCAGCCCTCCTCTTTCAGTGAAATTAATGAGATGTAAGCAAGCCAAGATTTGCGTATTGTCCCATTAACTATTAGACTATATCTTAACAAAATTATTAATTTCTGCACCACAAAAATCAATAATTTAAGCCTTAAATTACCTTCCATCATCCTTCTTATCATCTGCATTAAATTACTGCTTTAAAGAGATTTGCGCAGTCCAGAAAAGATATAACAAGGTTACAGATTTTATTCAAGGATAATCTTCCCTAAGTACACTGCTTGACATTAAAAATGCAACACCAAGAAGGAGTGGTCAGAAAGTGACGAAATTTGGTCAATAAGAGTGCAGATGGTGTCCTGAGAGATGGCTCTCCAGTCCCTTTCAAACAATTGCCACAGTTAGTCTTCTGAACGAGTCAGGGGCATAGTATGCAAACGGCGTCCAATCACATCCCACACATGTTCGATTGGTGACAGGTCAGGAGAGTATGGTGGCCAGGGAAGCATCTGCATACCTTGCAAAGCATGTTGGCAGATGCAAGCACTGTGTGTGGTCGGGCTTTCCTGCTGAAAAATTGCATTAGGCCGCCCCTGAAGGTAGAGGATTTCCACGGCCACAATACATTATCTAGTATCGCTGGCCATCATAGTGCCCTGAATACGAACTGAGTGACCTGAATTTGTTGGCAGATGCGTCGATCCCGCTCTGACGTCACTCTGGCTGCACCTGCACCCCCCTTCTTCCCAAATTTCCTTGTTCAACCAGGTTCGCCATAGCCCGATGCACCATGGCTCGCATCCATGGGGTATCAGCTGCGATTTGACGTAAGGACCAACCTGGCCATTCTCAGTCCATCACCATCCCCTCGAAATCGTCTATCCGCTGGAAGTCCTTCTGACAGCGGCCTGGCATTCTCTCCTATTACACATATCCTCTGGGACAAACCAACTTTCTTCGAATTAGTTGCAGAAAAACGACACATATTGCCCATGCTGCACGTTCCTTCCCTTATACCTTACTTCACGTGCGTTGGGAGCTGCGCATTCACCTCATTCGCAACTCAGTGACGCGCGTCTACTCTAAATTTTCATAAATTTCTGACCACCTTGCTTTTTCAGTGTCGGCGTGTTTTCTGTTTTCCTAAGCATACTCACGTTCATATTTTAAGGCAGCTGCATGTAACCTCATTAAGAATTTTTTAGGGTACTTTTAGTGTCAGAGTAACAACATTTCAAATTTTATTAATTGTGGTTTCATGTTATTAACTTGCTGAATGCTCGAATTCTTGCCTAAAATGTCAAAAACTACTATTATTGGTTCAAAACCCTATAGAATTTTTTTCCCCCTCCCCCACAAATTCAAAATCTCAGGGGTTCAATTGTGTAACATTAATACAGTCAAATACGAAAATCCGCCGACCTGAATCTGCGGCCTCGCAAATATAAGCATCATTTTTAGGTGCCAGAAACCCAATATTGATTACGAAATAGCGAAGAAAAAATACTTACCAAATAATGACGTCATAATTACCGAATAATAATGAGTCATAACGGAAATACCAAATTATTGACATTATGATAACAGTTTTTTCCCCCCTCTAATCTGCATTGAAGTAAAAAAAGCAGATGATTCACTCAACTCTTCTTTCAAGTTCAGGATTCACGTTTTTTCTGAGCTTTGTTATTTCACTGGATTAAAGTGCTTCCTTTTTTTTTTTTTTTATCTGGATATTAAGAATTATTAAGAATATTTTAAATTTCAGCCCTTTTTAACCCCAGATAAGAAACACACCCAAGATTTTACTACTTGCAACGTTGAAAATGTAAATACATTGGATTGACGGTAATGCAAAAAGTGCAAATTCTGCAAAAGATGAAGGCAGGTGCTACTCCTCACTTTAGAGCAGAATCTTATGAAATTGCGACATAAGATATACGAAAAAATAAAGAAAAGCTGTTGAAATTTTACAGCAACAGTGATTCTAACGCTGGACTCCGAAACCGGAAATCTTTTCATGAGGCGAAATCGGCAAACCTCGATGTTGTGTACAGATAATACAATGAATAATATAATCACTTTATACATGTAATAATAATTTAATGCATATAATAAGTTATTGCAATAATGTATATAATAATTTAATTAAATGTATCTAATACGCCTTATTTATTTTGCACTTTTAGTCTTAATATTACAATTTATCATTTCTGTCCTGAAATCCGCAAAATCCTAAAATTCGCACAACCTTTGGTCGGAAGCTTTGCGGATTTCTGGACTTCTACTGTAGTAATAATAATAAATGTAAGTGCAAATAACTGAGCTTAAAGAAAATCAATGTTCAGCCAAGTGTGTTTGTTGTCACTAGAAAAAGCATGAATAGCTGCAATAATAAAATATCAATTCATATCTTGAGTTGCCTTACTCATTATTTTATAAGTAACTGATATATTAATAGCACAGAGAAGGAAAAGCTTTAACACATTAGATTAATACACAGAACTCTAATAAATAAATTAAGGCACTAGCCAGGTAAATAATTTTAAAACCCATTTTTATTACAAATAAAGTAACATGTCTGACAAATGTATGCAACAAAGCACTAAAAAACACTTTTTAAAACAACTTCTATACTACTTTAACAGTCAAACCTGTCATAAAACATTTCTGAGACAAAAGTTTTCACTGGTCTTAACAACATGCTGGTTTCTAATTTTTGAGGATCTCAGGATTCCAAGAAAACCCCATTAATGGAGAATATCTAGTAACAGAAGTTAAGCTATATAAAGAAAATTAATATTTCAAAGTATCATAAAAGCCTACCTTTGTTCAATACCCAAATGTGCATTGATGCTAGCATAACGAGCTGTGCCTGTTAAATTTTTGTCTTCACGATATGGAATGTGGGTGCGCGTTCTATTATCTCTATATTTTTTGGCTAGACCAAAATCAATCAAGAACAGCTGCAAAGAAAAATAAATAAATAAATAAATTACAAGTTTTGCAAACAGAAACCTAAACATTTTCAACAGTAGATTTGAACTACAGTCAAAAGTCGTTAATTCGGACACCCATAATCCGGAATGATCTATAATACGGACCTCGAAGCTAAAAACTTTCTGCGCGTGCGCTGTGTTGACACAATGCGCATAGGCGTTTACGCGTGCGCATAAGACCTTTAGACGGCGCATATGCGTGTGCGCAAGCGCAGAATACGTTTTCGCATGCGCGTTTAATGTATAACGGACGATATAAGCTAAAATTACCTTATTTCAGTTAATGTTGATGATTGCATTGTTCCTTATCTTCGAAGTGGATCCGGCTTATTTTTTTTGCAGACTGTAAGACAATTTTATAAAAGTAACTTGAACTTTCGATTATGTCAAATAGAATTTCCGATGCTGGAGCTCCCAAAGGATCTACAAACGAAAGTATTTTCGATGTCCATCAACAAAAGTGGAATTGCTGCAAAAATGGATAAAGACTGAAGAAGGGACAGAGATGTTAGTGAAAACGAAAAATTTTGATTGACAAGTTAGTCGGATTTTTGGCACAGCAATGAGACTTGAACAGTGGAACTTTGTAAGTGAAAGAAATTATGTCTGTTTATAGAATTAAAGAGAAAGTATTTCACATAAAACGAAGCAACTTAACAACTTGCACTGAAAGAAATGTTTAATAAGTAAACAATAATATTAAGCTTTTTTTTATAAATTTTGATACCCTTAGATCAAATTGTTCTTTATTTCATAAATATGGTTTCATATTTTTTAATTTTAGAATTTCTGCATACCATCTTACCAGATTTAAACTGATGATCTATAATGCGGAATCGCCGAAGTCCCGACGAGTCCGGATTAATGACTTTTGACTGTATTATTTATATGTTATTATATATATTCATCTCCTTTTCTAATTTTGTTTAAATATTATTTTTTCTTTCCCCCCTCAAAGACTCATGATGTTTTTACTGTCTCTATTTTTGTTCTACAAAACATAAATTGACAGAAATAGCAAGCACAGTCAGCTTTCAATTGATTATGTGTTAAAGGCAGAAGTTTTTGTTTAGATTATAGCTGTAGATTGGCGCCAACAAGTGTTATTTCTTTCTCAGGGAGCAGACATAGGGAAATTCAATATAGGTGAATTAGACCTCACGTGTGACAAACTGTGTATTTTTTTAAAGCTCCAGCCAGTGGCTTTTTCTTTTGGCACAAGTTATAATATTGATGCGTGCGTACAGGTTCGTTACAAAATAAATGCACAAATCTGATGAAAAATGAACAAAAATTTATTATTATCACAACAAATATGATTAAATGTACTCCAATAATCGTGCAGTATTACAATATATCACAGTAGTTATCTTTTAACTACTCAAACGTTCAAAAGAACTTAATTCAAAACAGCTAAAGAAAGCTAATCCGTGAATTCGCTACAATCAACAAGAGCAGTTTTCTAAACAACAACAAACTAGGCAACTACCACAAACTGAGAAGTTTTCCTCCTTTTATAAGATTTTAAAAATCGTGTGCGAGAATTTTTTGGTGCTTTCTCGAAATCAAAAAGACATATTTATTTATTTAAATGCACGTGCTCTAGTATTTTTAATTTCCCGGCTTAGCTTTCTTCTTTTAATATTCGTCACGCGCTGCACTGCGCGGGAAATGAAACCATTTAATTTATAATTGAACTGACATTAGCTTTTTAAATACCAAATTCGTAACAATATTATTGATTGTGTACTGAAAGATTGCGAAGATATAGCATCATTGTGAATAGTGGCGAAATTATTAAAAGTATAAAATAGCTGGTGCTTGTTTGGGCTATTCATAAAATATTTCAACCCAAAAATGGCTACTAAAAACGTAAAGGTGGTTCAGAGTGCCGGCTTTTAATGATGAATGGGCCTGGAAATATTTTTTACAGTTGTAAAAGATAAATCAGTGTGTCTCATCTGCAATGAAGCTGTAGCAGTCGTCAAAGAATATATCATTTCCCGTCATTTCACATCTAAGCATAAGAATTCCAGTTACGAAGCAATGTCCGAATATGAAAGAAAACAAAATGCACAAAGTCTTCGTAAAAAATTATCAGGCCGACAAAATTTTTTTCAAGAAGGTAAACAGTATCCAAGAAGCAGCTACACATGCAAGTTATATTGTAGCATACAATATTGCTAAAAATAATAAAGCTCTCAGTGATGGGGAGTTTGTTAAACAATGCATGTTGCAACTTTGTGATGTTTTCTGTACAGACAAGAAAAATAATTTTGAGACTGTAAGCTTATCTCGAAAAACGGTGACTTCTAGAATCAAAGACATTGATACAAATTTGACATCAAATTAGAGTCAGAGTTGGCCAGTTTAAATTTTGCTCCTTAGAATGAATGAAAGCACTGATATAAATGATACTGCTCAATTAATATTATTTATAACAGATGTTGATGAGTACTTTGAAATTAACAAGGAACTGGCGTGCATGCGTTCTTTAAAGGGAACTACAATGGGATGTGATATCTTTTGTGAATTTAGGAAAGGGCTTTTAACTTTGAAAGTGCCTATAACAAATATACATAAATATTACGACCGATGGAGCACCAAATAAGACAGGGAAAAAAATCAGGATTTCTTGGACTCTTTAATCAAAACTATCCCAGGAACTATGCTGTTTTTCTACACTGTGTTACCCATCAAGATGCTCTGTGTAAATCTGCATTGAATATGAAACTCGTGCTTGATGCAATCATGAAACTTGTAAATACTATTCAATCTCATGAGCTTATTCACAAGCAATTTTGAGATTTTCTTCAGTCCGTGCAATCTGAGTACTCTGATGTACTGTATTACACGAAAGTAAGATGACTTAATGCAGGATGTGTTTTCGAGCGAGTTTGGCAGCTGAAAGACGACAATTTTGTAAATATAACACTGATTTTTGTTGTTTGACTTCTGAATTAGTATTGTGTTGTTCTTCCATGAGAAACAGTATTCTGCAGAGTGCGAAATGTTAGAAGACACAGATTGGCTTTCAGACTTTGCATTTTTTACAGATCTTCTTTACCATATGATCAACTTGAATGTCAAGATGCACGAAACAAATCATTTTATCGACGATATCTAGGCCTACCCAAGGCCATCTTGATGAGAGAAGGCCGAATCCAAAGGGGTTCTCCCCTGCTGTGACATCATGAGTGAGAGCGATCGTACTAAAACCATCTTTAAATGGTATAAGCATAAATAGAGCATACGATTAAGCTAGAAGTTATCTAGCATTAACTATTCCTTAACTATAGTAAATTGAATTTTTATCAAACAAGAAGGGAAAAAAAAAAAAAAAAAGACGTATCGAAAGTTAAGTTTATTTACGAGCTCACTTTGGAGTATCTTGTTGAAGAGATTTCGGTGAGTATTTAAATTTATGAAACAAATGTTTGGTTATGAAAATGAGTATTTCTTAATTGCTGCAAATCTGTACATTGAGCATCTTTCTACGTGTCTAGGCATAACAATGTAAAGAATCAATATTCAAAATCTATTGGTAAATCAATAATGAAGAAATGGAATGCTATTATCACTATGTTCTCAGATAATTTAAAGTACATATTTTTCTTAAAATTATGATATTAACAATTAAATGTAAATACTGATAAATCATACATCTAAGAGATGTATAACTCTTGAATATCAATCTTTTAACGTGTCATATTAATATTTGCAACTCTTGAATTTCTGGGTATTTTTTTTTTTTTTTTTAAATATGAGACAGCAAAAACATAGTTTCTTGTAGTGTTTGGAAATAAGTGAAAATATTTAGTTTTGAATGCTAGTCACACTGTAGTTAAAAATTTGATATAATATTTATTTTAATTAGTTTAAAACTATTTGATTTTGCAATGTTTAATGCTATTAAACTGCATATAATGGTATGTAACTAAGAATATAGTACTGTAAAGCATGCTATCGATTAGCAAGCAAAAATTAATATTATTTGAGAAACTCCCCTAAGATGCAATCCCATTGTCTAAATATAAAAGATTAGTAATCCATTCTTTAGTTTTTAAATATTGCTTATAGGAAGACAAGGATATATTTGTTTCTCATTACTACTTGGGAAAAAGAAAGCGCACTGACCCAAGATCATTTTGGCTAACCGCCCTTGGCTGTGACGTCACCAAACATTAGCTTCAGCCTTCTCCTATCAAGATGGCCTTGGCCCATCTCAAAGCTTTTGCACTAAAATGTAATCTGTTTGCTGAGCAGCTAGCTAAGAACGACTTGTCTCATTCCCCGAGGTTAAATTCAATACTCTCAATAAATGAAGAGAAGCTTAAGAATTTTGAAGATGGCTTGAAAAAACTACATTTTGAGTTCACATGCAGATTTAAAGATTTGAAAGCCATTCAAACAGAATTGGATATTTTTACCATGCCTTTGAACATAAATTGTGAAGCAGAGAGGTCATATTTGCAGCTTGGATTGAGTTGCAATCTAACGATCTTCTCAAGCAGTTGTTTCTAAATACACCAAAGTTAGTTTTACAAATCATTATCGAAAGTAAGTTTCCCAAATTTAATATCCCACGTCCAGAAAAGCAGTGCTATGTTTATGTGAACAAGTATTTTCAACTATGAACCTTAGTAAGAATTATTTCAGAAGTAGACTGACAGATGAGCATTTAGCCTCATTCCTTAGAATCAGTACATCTCACTTCGAGCCTCAATATAAGGAACTTTTAAGAATGAAATCGTAATTTCATTCATCTCATTAACATATTGTCATCATAAGTTGAATACTGGTATATTGTTTTTAAAATTTTTTTAAAAAAATCTTGGCCCGCCAAAAATTTTTTTTCAAATTTTTGGCTTGTGACCAAAAAAGTTTGCTTACCCCTGATCTAAACCATTTTCCTCTAAAGTCTTTAATAAGAATATTGTTGATCCTCCAATGGTCGTATCTGTTGT